CACACACACACACACACACACACACACACACACACACACACACACACACACACACACACACACACACACACACAAACACACACACACAAACACACACACACACAAACACACACACACAAACACACAAACACACAAACACACAAACACACACTCACACACTCACACACAAACACACACATACACACACACAAACACGCACCGGTGTAGAGCGACGGAATTCCCTTCTCGAAGTAGACGAGCGTGGGGAGTTTCTCGATGCCGTATTCCTGCGCTTCGTCGTCGTTGTCGATCTTGACGAAGGACACGCCGCTCGCATCGCACTCGTCGTCGATGTTCTCCAACTCATTCACGACTTGTTGGGACTCCGGTTCGTCCTCGTCGTCTGCGGGTGGAAGGGTGGAAGGGTGGGGGGGGGGGGTGAAAAAAAGAGAGGTGGTTAAATAGTGGAGAGGGGGGTAGAGGGATTGATTATTTGATAGGCATTATGATATAATAAGTAGATAGATTGTCATGAGAATCTGAATAACTGATAGAGAAAGAGGGAGAGTCATTGAAAAAAGATAGCCGGATAGACAGATATTATATATAGACAGACTAAAAATATATATATATATATATATATATACAAATATATATCCACAAACAACCCTCCCCCTCCAGAACGAAACGAAACAAAAAAAACACCAAGAAAGAAAAAAAAATCAATAACAATAATAACAAGTAAATCAAAAAAATAATCCAAAAAAAACAACAGTATTGAACGACGACTCACAGAAAAGGACGGCCAGATGATCAGACTCCCGGATCAGCTTATCTAGCATCTCGTCCGTTACGTCCTCGATCTCGTCCGTGTGCAATTGCTCGATCAGCCACGCCAGCACCTCCTCCTCGTTGTGCAGGTCCCCGTCGTACAGCGAGGGGATCTGGGTCACGAAAAAAAGGCTTGGTTAGCAAGAGGGAAGGTCAGAGGTCGGGTTTGGGTGTGATTATTATAAGGGAGGTCAAAGGTCAGGTTTCGGTGTGGTTATTATAAGGAAGGTCAGAGGTCGGGTTGGGTACGTTTAAAAGGGAAGGTCAGAGGTCGGGTTTGGATGTGGTTATTATAAGGGAGGTCAGAGGTCGGGTTTGGGTACGTTTAAAAGGGAAGTCAAAGGTCAGGTTTTGGTATGGTTATAATAAGGGGGGTCAAAGATCAAGTTTGGGTATGGTTATGGAGGAGATGAGGTTATGTATAGTCATAAAACGGCCAAAGGTTTAGGGGTGGTCATGTCTGTAGATATACCTGACTTGATTAGAGAGATAGATCATATTTTTTGACTAAGAGAACCGAAGCCGCTGATACTATGTAGTATGTTAGAAAGGGCCTTGATACACGATAAGTTCTCAGAAAAAAAAAAATTACACTCTAATGAAACATATTTAGCGTATGATTTTAAAGTATGTATATGAACACCAAAAAACAATAAACAAATATAAAATAACCCTAACACTAAAAATTCCCAATGTTGAAAAAAAAAAACCCACAAATCTCATGCAAAATAAAGAAGGAAAAAAGATACTAGTAACTTCCGCACCTCATGCTCGAAGTAGACGAGGGCGGGCGTATCCTCGATGCCGTAGTCCTTGGCAGCCACTTCGTCGGCGATCTTGACGATGTGGATCCCTTGCGCGTCCAGTTCGTCGTCGATGTTCTCCAGCTCCTGCAGGATCACTGTGTCGTCGGATTCGTCGCGGTCGTCTGCGGGAACGAGTTGGTAGTTGGGAGTTGGAACGGTGGGTAGTTTAATGGGAGAAGGGCAGTCGATGATTTGGTTACAGGTGGTTGTGGTTAATGCAGTTCGTAGATGACAAATATAGCATTTCAGAGTAACGATTTCGCTTCCCTATAGATTTCCTTAAATGAGATTGGAATGTTTGTCATATCAAATGTAAGAGCATTTAGATAAAAACAGTAATGGAAAGAAAAATATCCCGCTCGATGACGTAACGAGGAGAAGTATAAAATGTTTACTTAATCGTTAGTGAATGATGAAAACACTCAACCGTGTTGATACTATGGTAGAAAAACCCACAATGTAAAAACTAGATTTATTGAAAATGAGACAACAGTTTCGGAATCTACCTGGATTCCATCCTTAGTAAACCACAAAAGATAACAAATCAGTCCCAGCAAGGAAGCAGTATCACAGACTCTCTCTGCTCACTAATCCCATTTCTCCACCCCTGCTGCTCCTCTCCTCCCCCCCCCCAAAAAAAAAAAAAAAAAAAAATCCTGGCTATGCTGATCCCCCTTTCAAACACACAAACCCATTTCCTTTTCCCCAAACTCACAGAAAATGACGGCGAGGTGGTCCATGGAGTCGATCAGCGTGTTGAGGAGGCCCGCTGTCACGTCGTTGATAAAGTCATCGTCATCTCCTGTGTTCTTGTTCTCCACCAACCACTCGAGAACCTTGTCTTCGTTCATCAAGTCACCTGGAGAGAACAGGAAGAGAGAGAG